ACGTCAGTCTCGTTTTTTATGTTTTAAGTGTAGCAAAACATTTTTGACCTCCCGAAATCTCACGGATCATTTAAAATACCACCATCCTTATCTGGCTGCCTACGTTTGCAAACAAGAAAACTGTTATCGTTCATTTAGAGACATAATAGGCTTTCGGAAGCATTTTTTCAGCAAACATTTTGTAGGAGTACTGAATAGTGAAAAATACCAAAAAATCATGAATTCTACTATTTCGGAAAACGAATTACCACATAACACCACAATTCCCCCAGTAATAATTCCCCATTGTGAGTTTCATGAACAAAATCCTCTTTCCCTTTTTATGGATTTTATTTCCAAATTATATAGCCAGTCCACGATTAATAGAAAAAGTGTTCAAGAGGTTGTGAACTACACAAAAGAATTATCAGGAGGTATTTTTTTCTACATATCAGAAAAATTAAAAAGCCTTAATGAACCAGCCCAAATAAAAACTTTCCTTGACAAAACATTTCACGATATTTCAAAACAATTTAGCGAATTAGCTACGGAATTCAACAGGTTTAAATTTTTACAACAACAAAATGTTTATATATATAAAACCTACGCCATATACTTTAGGAAATGAAATGGTTTTGGTTAAAACTAACACTTCGGGACAACCTGTTCCTAACATCAAAAATGTTGTAGGCCAAAAAATTTGTATTAAGTGTCTTAAAACAATTTTTAGAATTACCTGGAGTTTTAAATGAAATAGAGAAATTTATTCACGAAGAAGAACGAATAGATTCGCCATCAATTTTTACTAGTTGTTTTCAAGGAAAGTTATGGCAAAATATCAAAAAGAAATGGTGATAAAAAGGTTTTACCATTATACTTGTTCTTCGATGACTTCGAACCCCTTAATGTTCTTGGATCAAGAGCTGGGAACTATAAAATAGGAGCCGTGTATTTATCATTAGCCTGTATCCCACCTCAGTTTACATCCCTCCTAGAAAATATTTTTCTGGTACAGCTTTTCTATTCGACTTATAAACAGTTTTTGGTAATAAAACGATTTTTTCGAGCCTAATAGATGATCTCAGATTTTTAGAAGAAGAGGGCCTTCAAATTAACATTTCTAATAGTTAACCACCGTATTATTTTCATTGCTTGCTATTTTAGGGGATAACTTAGGGCTGAATTCAGTATTAGGTTTCGCTGAAAGCTATAACTCAGAGTTTTTTTGTCGCATTTGCTTAACACCTAAAATAATTACACAAGTAGAATACAATATGTCGCGTTTTGTTGAACGTACTGCTGAAAATTATAATTTGGACTGTGAAAATGGCTCCCATGGCGTAGAAGAATTGTTCATTGTATATGGAATGAATTAGGTAGCTTCCATGTAACACAAAACTTCTCATGTGATCTGATGCATGACCTGCTCTTAGGAGTTTTGCGATATGATTTGGCATTTATAATAAATCATTTAATAAAGGCCAAATATCTTTCACTAAATCTTCTTAACGAAAGAATCAAGTTTTTTAAGTTTTCAAAAGTAGACTTAGGAAATAACATACCCCAAATAAAACAAGAACACTTAAAAAAATATGCTAGTAATAAGTGCATCGGAAATGATGTCTCTTACATTATATTTAGGTGTATTAATTGGCGATCTCATACCCGAATATGACAGGTTGTGGATTTTTTATACACTTACTGTACAGGTTTTGGAGAATCTTCTAGCCGAAAGCTTTTCAGAGTGGTCTTTGGTGTATCTAACCTCCCTGATTGCGGAACACCATTCACTTTTTTTAGAATTATTCGAAGACACTCTGAAACCAAAATATCATTTCCTGCTTCATTACCCAAAAATAATACGTTTATTGGGACCCCCGAGGTACTATTGGTCTGGTGATGAGATATGAATCATTTCATCGCCTTCTAAAAATAAGCGCTAATTCGATAACCTGCAGAAAAAATTTGATAAAATCATTGTCAGTTAAACAACAATTAAGATTTTCTGCAAGGATTCTAAGTAAAAAAGACCCAAACTTATCATTTGATCAAGGACCCTCTTTTGTTTTACATGAAAGTTTTCATGTGGGAAAAGTGTTTCTTAAGTTTAAGAAACACTTTTCCTGGTGTATTTACTAACGATGCTATAGAAATTAACTGGATCAGTGTTGAAATAGGTTTAGTACTGCAAATTCCAATGAAAAATCCTGGAGATGATATGTCTGGTGTTATTAAACATATAGTTCTAGACAAAAACGATATTTTATGTTTTGTGATTTCAAATTTAAAAACTTTGGGATTTTCCAACCATATACAATATTATGAAGTGACCCAAAGGCAAACAAAAATTTTAAACTTACATTTGTTTTCATCATTGCAGTGCAAATATTACTTTAATATGCATTATACTTCAGACCGCAAAACAGTTTTTTGTACGACTAAATAAGACTGATGAATGTTAGTCAAGTTCTTATGACATACATATTATTATGTCCTTAGGTATACAGCACAATAGTTGATTGTTCAGCTAAACGAGACTGATGTAAACATTACCAAATTTCGTAGGTATAGGTGTTAAACAAAAATACATTTTTAGTACAAATACTACCAAAGACTGGTTGTGATTAGTTCTATTAGAATAATAATGTTTCTGTTGATTTTTACAGGGCCATTTTATTTATTTTCTTTTCTAGTTCCTTTAACTTTTTTATAGCGCTGTGCATATTTTTTCTACACAGTGATACAAAAAGTTAATATAATATACAGGGTGTCCCAGGCTGAGCGTGTATTAGAAGTTCCTAGAGAACCACAACATCTAGCTCGGAAATTTTTTGGACATCGTAGTTTCACAACGAGATCTATGGATTAAAAATATTTTCAATATGGTGGGACTTCCGGAAATACCGGAAGTTGACAGCAACTTTCTTATTTTAAATGGGTGCCCCCATTTTTTATTACATACTTAAATTCTCTGTAAAATTTTATGAATTTTGATATTAAACACGCTATATCTACATTAACCGTTTTTGAGAAAAAAAAATATTTAAAATTTTTGAACGAAAAAAACTGCCTGTCAAAAATATGTGTTTAGTAAAGGTCAAATTTAGTGATTATTACAGCCACTGTACCATAAGAGAAAACATGTGGCTACCTATTTCAAAAATTAAATTGTTCGAATGTCATATAATAATGGCCGCAGCTGTCATAGAATTAAGCGATTAATAAATTATCTTAAATCATTTTTTTTCAAATGGAAACCCATTTTTTATATTTCACTAGTGAAAAGGCTTTTCAATTTGTTACTTTTTGACTATATGTTCCTATACCTAAAATAAATCGTTTTTAAGTTATTTAAAATTTAGTTTTAAAGCGTATATTTTTCTTGATTTTAACCGGTAGCCTATGACTTTAAACGTGGCCATGTCATATTATGACGCTTTGTTCAAAAAGCAGTATCATTTCCGAGTCAACTTTGCGCGTTTTTTTTTCATTTTTCATTATTTCTTCAAACGGAATATTCAACAATTCAATATTACTAATAATATCAACTTTTAGATATCACTAAAGAGCGAAAATACGAGATATATTTTTATAAATACACTTTTTAAACTCTTAAGTAGGCAGTATTTATTATATAGGAAATTCAAATAATTCGTTTTCTGACAGATGGAAATAAATTGTCTGACCGTTTGACACTTAATGTCAAAGGAAGCTAGATAAAATCAAGAAAAATATACGTTTTCAAATTAAATCTTAAATATCTTAAAAACGATTTATTTTACGTATAGGAATATGTATAGTTAGAAAATAACGATTTGAAAACCCTTTTCATTAGTGAAATAAAAAAAGTGAGTTTCCATTTGAAAAAAATATTTTTTTAATCCCCCATTTCCATGACAGCTACCGCCATTACTATATGACTTTTGAACAATTTAATTTTTGAGATAGATAGCCACTCTCATGAGATAGCCACACTAGAGAGATAGCCACACACCTCCATAGATAGCCACACTCACTCATTTTTGAGACAGATAGCCATTCTCTTTATGTCACAGTGGCTGTGGTAATGACTAAATTTGACTTTTAGGCTATACACATTTTTTTGACAGGTAGGTTTTTCCGTCCAAAAATTTTAAATATTTTTTTTCTCAAAAACGGTTAATGTTAGATATAGTGTGTTTAACAGCAATAGAATTTTACGGAGACTTTAAGCATGCAATAAAAAAAATGGGGGTACCCATTTAAAATAAGAAAGTTGCTGCCAACTTCCGGTATTTCCGGAAATGCCGCCATATTGAAAATATTTTTAATCGATAGATCTCGTTGTGAAACAGTGATGTGCAAAAAATCTCCGATATAGATATTGTAGTTCTCTAGAAACTTCTAATGCACGCTCAGCCTGGGACACCCTGTATATAAAAAATGACTCTGTATGTATCTAGTTTTTATAGTTCATACATATTTAAAAACATTAATTTTGTTAAGTTAGTCTTAATGGACAAGTATGTATTCAAAGTTACTTATTTTATTTGTTGATATACAGGGTCCGGCAATAGTGCGTCGGGCATCTGTAGCTCCTAGAATAAAAAACTTGGGAATTTTGTTTAAGTTTAAATCTAAAGTAGGATTTATAAACTCACAGTTGGATTTGGCTTTGGCGTTGGCGCCGCCGCCCAATTCTTAAAACTGTATATTACCATAAGAGCATTTATAAACACGGTTGGCGTTGGCTTTGGCGCCCGGTTGCCGTCGGACTTGAATTATGTTTAACTTTTTACCGTTCGCGGCGGTTCGCCGTCCGTAGCACCACGTAGCAAATGACGTTACAGCCAATAGAATAGTAAAGAGCGATCACGTGCGTGAAATATGGGAATTCCACATTTAGCGTGGGCACGGCTGGCGTGGGTACCGTACGCCGTATACCGTACAGTACGACCATTTTATCTCGTTATCTCTGTGTATGAAGTTGTGTTTTTTGTGTTCCTGAATTCCTTGTGTTTCTTTTTTACCAAAATTTAAAAATGGAAATTGACAATTCTGATGTGGATGGAGGAGAAAGGCAATGTAAGCAAATGGTATAAAAATATATACTTTGGTTATTGTATTTTTATTTAATTTTATAGCTCAAAATTTGTTGGCTGAAATTGATGTGGGTCTATTCATAGAGAGTATTCAGTCCTATGAATATTTATACAATATGACCCACAAGGATTACAAAAACCTGAAAAAAAAAGAATTTGGCATGGTCAGAAATTGGCCTTATCAACAATGTTGCTGGTAAGCTTTGTCTAGTTTTATATACCTACATTACCTAAAAAAATATTTTATTCTAGCTGAAAAATGTCCAAAGATGTGGAAGCTTCTTCGTGACCGGTTTGTGAAGGAAAAAAATAAATGTACTTCGGGGTCTGGGGCCCCAGATTCCAGTTGGGTGTATTTTCATCACATGCTATTTTATGAAAAATACACAAGACCCAGAAAGTAATTATACTTATTTATGTAAACATTTACAAATAATACAAAAAATATTTTATTTTTAGAACATTTACAAGTACCAAACTAAAAACCATATCAACTTCGATGCAGCCCCAGCCATCCACCTCTACACAGAGCAGTAGTCGATCAAACTCTGCCTGCTCTGTGTGGTCAACCACTCTAGAAAATCATATATTCTCTCCAGAGAGTGAAGAGATGGAGGATGAAATACCAGTATCCAGAGAAGTACCAGTATCCAGAGAACCTCGAAAGGAACCAGAAATTGCTATTGTAAACACCCCTAGCTCATCAAATCGTAAGTTTTTTTCTTGTGTTTTAGTAGCAATATGTAATAAAACTATGGTGTGGTAAAAATGCTAATAATTATCAACATTGTTACTTTCAGCTAAAGCTGGAAAAAGAAAGGGAAGGGAAGGAGACGAATTCTTAAATGTGGCGAAGAAAATCTGTGAGACATTAGATATCCAGAGGGCCAAAGGATCCGAACAAAAGGATGCTAACAAAACATTTGCTGAATATGCCTACTCGAGGCTGGCTGAAATGCCAGCAGATGAAGCAAAAAGAAAAAGGAGAAAAATGTTATTAATTTTAGAGGATGACGAATAGTTATAAGTTTAGTTCGTTATTTTATTACTCTAGTTTGTTTTATAGTTATAGTTTATTAAATATTTTTATATCTTTATTTTGGTTTTATTATTCATCTCACTTGCCCTGATATAAATATATTTTTGTCTGCCACTTATACTTTAAAACATTAAAATTAAACACAGTTTATAAAAATAATTTATTTAATAAAATAAAAATTACTAATCATAACTACCTATATTAACTATAAATTATTACAATTCAAAAGACCTAGGTAAATTAACAAAAAAAAAATTAATAGCGTTCTTTATTTAAAGAAAAAAAATGTTTTATACAAAATTATTGACTAAAAAGGTTTATTGTATTAAAATAGAGGTGTTAGGTAGCCACATAAATATAATAATAATTATTAAAAAGCCTATAGATATATAATATATACAGTGTGTCTAACAAACTTAACTATTAAAAAAAACATACTACAAATAATTTAAAGATATACATAAATCAAACTTAATTTAATAATAAGCCACTGTCAATAATTTGTTCCTGCCAAGAAACTTTTCCCACATCTGAAACCAAATAGTCAGCTAAAATGTTTCTATTTTCGTAGAACTCTCTACGGGACACATTAGTAGATAATCTACCAACAGAAGTTAGAGGAGTCTGCTCATCTCTCCAACCTCCATTTGTCATTCCTTCGGTGTCAACATAGTTTGGTGGACAGTAGTCATGTGACAGCTCTGTTTGGCAATAGTTGTGAAGAACAACCACTGCCTTGACAATATTGTCAACATTTTCTACTTTTGCATTTATGTTGGTTTTTAAAATTCGCCAACGTGCTGCAAAAATTCCAAAAGTGTTTTCAATTAGCTGACGTGCCCTTGACAACCGATAATTGAAAATTCTTTGTATTCTTGATAAATTTTTTCCTGGATATGGCCTCATTATAACTTTTTTTAGAGGAAATGCCTCATCAGCCACAAAAAAATAAGGCATTTGAACATTTGAAAATGGCAAATTGCTGTTTTTGGGTACATACATGTCATCCTCCTCTAACCTTTGTCCAAACACACTATTTTTAAAAACACCCCCATCACTGCTAGAACCATAAGCACCAATGTCCACTAATGTAAATTTATATGCACTATCACAGGCTGCCAAAAGCACAATGCTAAAGTTTTTTTTGTAGTTAAAATACAATGAACCACTTTTAGCCGGTGCTTTAATATTGATGTGCTTCCCATCCAGGGCCCCTATGCAATTTGGAAAGTTCCACCTACTCCAAAAACCATCACTAATATCTTTCCACTCTTTTTCAGTGTTAGGACTTTTTAAATAAATAGGACTAAGAACATTCCATAGTACCTGGCAAGTTTCATTCACAATGCAGTGAACAGTTGCATGTCCAACATGAAAATTCCAAACCAAAGCTTGCATGCTTGTGCCCTGAGATAAATATCTAAAAAAATATATAGGTATTAATTATATGTTTATTGTTTGAAAAATAATGGGGCTTACTGCAGTGTTATCACCAATCTTTCCTCTGGGGAGATTCCATCAGATCTTAATTGTCTTTCTATGTGGTGTTTTATTTTTTGCAAGAGTTTCTCAAAAGCAGCAACGGTCATTCGGGTGTATTTGAAGAATTGATCTTTATCCCAAGATTTCATGTTCTTGTAGTACTGAAATCCTCCCATTCTCCTTCTGGTCCTATTAATAGGCCTCACTTTAAACTGCCGACGACGTGTATTTATTTTGTGGTACGCATACATGCATAACGTCACTTCCAATAACCCTAATAGGGTAGTTTCATCAAGACCATTACTTTCCAAATCCATAATTAAAAATCTCGAACAAAAAATCAAAACTTTAGACACTTTCGTCTCTAAAAACGCACTATAGACTCTGCTACTCTCAAGTAAAAAGTAAACAAAAATGTAAGGTTAGATCTGCCCAAAACGGCCAAAGCCAACTGTCAACCGTCGAGTTTATAAATGCGATTTTGCGGCGCTACGAACGGTCGACGGCAAATCCAACGCCAACGCCAAATCCAAAGCCAACTGTAGAGTTTATAAATCGACCTTAAAGTATGTACGAGGATGTATTTCAGGAAAATATTTTAACTTCTATAGGGTGGTTAGGACCAAGAAAGACTGATCGTTCTTAGTGTGAGTGGACTGGGATGAGTTTTTTTTTTAAATGGAACACCTTGTATATTATTGCATTTTTGGCTTCCTTTCAAATCACTTTACATAATCCTAAGACATGAGTAAATATATTTTGATAATTTCAGAGATATTAATAAATAAATAAAAATTATAAATTTTTTAGCCTTTATCAAACTTAAAATGTTCTTTTATTTTTAGCTTAAGTTATCTTTAAAAAAAAGTTTTATTTTTGTTAAACAAAGTTACATCCAAATAAATAATAATTTTTTTTTAAATTTTGTATTATTTTTAAATTTACCCTAACCCGAACCATACAAAGTAAATTTTTATTTCAAATATATTTGCTGCAAATAATTTATATTGTTATGTACCTTAATTAGGCATAAATAACGCCACATCCACTCAAATAACGCTTATTTGCAAATATATTTGAAAGAAAAATTGACCATGTATGATTAGGGTAAAGGTGAATTTTTGTTACAAATTCCCAGTGCTTTAGTTACAAAAACCACAGTGCCTTTGTTACAAATTCGCAATGATTTTTTCTCAAATTCTCACTGTGTTATTACAAATTCGAAGTGCTTTTTTCACATATTTGCAAAGCTTGATTACAAATTCGCAATGATTTTGTCGCAAATTTCCACTATGTTGTTACAAATTCGAAGTGCTTTTGTCACAAATTCGCAGTGTTTTATAACAAATTCGAAGTGCTTTTGTCACATATTTGCAAAGCTTTATTACAAATTCGCAATGATTTTGTCGCAAATTTCCACTATGTTGTTACAAATTTGAAGTACGTTTGTCACAAATTCGCAGTGTTTTATAACAAATTCGAAGTGCTTTTGTCACATACTTGCAAAGCTTTATTACAAATTCGCAATGATTTTGTCGCAAATTTCCACTATGTTGTTACAAATTCGAAGTACGTTTGTCACAAATTCGCAGTGTTTTATAACAAATTCGAAGTGCTTTTATCGCAAATTCGCAGTACTTCATAACAAAGTTGAAGTGCTTCTGCCGTAAATTCGCAGATTTTTGATAATGAACTCTTAAGACTTTGGTATGAAGTCATGCAAATCGCAATACTTTCAAGATAAGGCTGTAGTCTTTGCAACCAGCGATTCTAAAGCGTTTATCCCATATGCATCTTGAAATTACCCCAATTGTACCATGCATTTGGCATATATCAAGAGCATGGCGAAATTGGTTCAAGTGCGTTCGCCATTAGGCCGATAGATTTGTTTTTTCAGTGTAGAGTAGCATCTAGCCACCTAGGTTATAGAACAAATTATTTATTTTCTGCAAAAATATCTATAACCGAATTAAAGTTAAATTAAAAAATAATTAGAATGTCATCGGGGGATGAAGAACCGCAATCAAGTACGAGCAGGAGGATAAAAAGAAAAAAACATCTCCAATGTTATAAAAAAGAGAGGGAGCTCGAATTTCCTGGCTGGCTGCAAATAAGTTCGAAAAACTTATAAATTATGCCAACTGTAAACCTTGCAATATATAGATAAAAATTTCCTCAGGGAAAGATGTCCTTAAAAAGCACAGCACCTCAGAAAGGCATTTATTGGCTTGTAGAAGCGTAAAAGCGCAGCCGAGCATTACTTCATTTGTGGTCAAAAAAATCCAAAAGAATGCTGAAATGGTAAAACAACACTGAAAAAACTAATGCTTTAATGGCAAATGATTCCGCGCATTTGCCGTTTTCGCTTTTTTGCCAAGTTAGACTCCTTAAATTCAATAGCACTGCTTTTGTGCCAAAGAAAACCACTGCAATTGGGGTAAATTCACCATGCATTTGCCTTGTTGTGCCTTTCAGGCAAATGAATTTCTTTCACGTCAAATTTAAGACTTTTAAATTAAAATCCCTACTTTTTTGGCAAATCGGATTTTAGCAGAAAATTATTGCATTTGGGCCAAATTTTGCGTGAATTCAACTTGGAATTATATGCTTTTATCTCCAATGTCAAACTTTTCAGCTGACAGCCATGCTTTTAGTAGCAAGTCAGCGCTCTTGGCATAAGTAGCCATTGTTGCCTATATTTGCACCGTGACGCGATCAACTTTTTACATGCGTGTTATTAGTATTAAGGTAAAACCCCCAATGGTTGACAGTCACCAAATAGTTGACACTTTCGGAGAAAATTACCATTCATAAGGTTTTTCAAGCAGCCCGCCAAACGTTAAATAGGAAAACTTATAAGTGGCGACCTCTACTAGCTACGTTTAACACCAAATGTTGACAGATTAGTTAGCATGAAAATTAAAGACATGTTTGTAACGGTTAGTTCGTGAAAAACTTTCCACAAGCAATTCCTAAGCCAATTTGGTAAGAAAGTGTATTATTATTTTTTTTCCATAATTAGTGTATTTTTTGTCCTAGACAAATCATAGTTGAATTCAAAGGTTTAGAAACATATTTAGAAGGCATATGACCTTATATATCACACATATTTCGTGTTTTGACTTTCTTTTTTTCGTGTGTCAACTATTGGTCCAAAATAATTATGTAGGTTTAGTAGTTGATACCGGGTGTCAAGCATTGGTGTCTCGGTCGTTTAAATATTTTTGGTATTTTATTGAATATTTGTAATTCCCAGTTAACGAGATTTAATTGAATATCAATTTCATGTTGATATAACATTCAGGACCAATAGATGACATACTGTCAACTATTGGGTTAAAAGGATGTCAACTATTGGGTTTAAGGATGTCAAATATTTTATTCTAGATTGAGAAACAGCATGCCTCTTGGAAAACGCCACTTACTTAAATATTCCGAAAATGATATGGAATTAGCGATCCAAGAAGTAGAACACGGAATGCCTTATGCTAGTGCAGCAAAAAAATATAAAGTTCCAAGAATAACACTAATGTATAAAGTGAAGAAAAAGACACCTCGGCATCAACAAATGGGTCGCGACTAATATCTCACTTTAGAGGAGGAGAAAGTTCTTGTTTCTTGGATTAGTAATATGGCAAAATATCTGGAAAAAGATGGGTTTCCTATAGGAAAAAATCAACTTTTTGACAGTGTAAAACATCTAATGTTGGAATTAAAAAGGCCAAATCCATTTACCAACAATAGACCAGGAAAAAGTTTGTATAACAGTTTTTTGAGAAGGAATCCCGAAATAAGTATCAGAACACCGCAAAACTTAACACTAACTAGGGCTAACGTAACGACAGCTAAAATACATCAGTGGGCTTCGGAGGTACATAGCTATTTGGAGGATCACCAGCTTGAGTATATTTTAAATCATCCTGACAGAGTATTTAATGCCGATGAAGCTGCATTTTTTTAAACCCAAAGGAGAAAAAAAGTTTTGTCTAAGAAAGGCGAGAAAAACGTGTATCAGGTAATCAACAGCGACGAAAAAGAGTGCATAACAGTTTTAGTAACTGGTAATGCGGCTGGACAACTTGCACCAGTAATGGTAGTTTTTCGTTATGAGAGAATCCCCGAGAAATTGTATTATGTGTTCCTAGTGACTGGGGCATTGGAAAATCCGAGTCGGGGTGGATGACAGGGGAAAAATTCTACGAATACATAACGAATGTTTTTTCCCGTACTTAGAAGCAAATAATATAACATTACCCATTATTTTATTCATAGACGGTCATGTTTCCCATTTAAACTTGCATACTAGCAAATTTTGTGAAGCAAAAGGCATTATACTTATCGCTTTATATCCTACCGCTACCCATCTAATACAACCAATGGATGTAGCAGTATTCAAAACTTTGAAAGCTGGATGGAAACAAAACATATACCAGTGGCGGTTAGAGAATTCTGCGAATCCGGTTGTCAAAAAAAACAAATTTTTGTCCTCTGCTCAAGAAAGCTATTAACGATAGAATTGTCCCTTCCGTCTTGGAAAATGGTTTTCGAAAGTGCGGCTTAGTACTGTGGAATCCTAATGCTGTACAATGTCCCGTTCTTGAAACCAAATTTGTGGACTCTCAAGATGTGAATGAAACATCTTTAAAGGAGTTGGAAAATGGTCGAAACTTTTAGAGAGAAATACATGGATCAAGAAAAGTTGGCTCGGTTTAAAAAAGTAAGCATTGGGACGGTGACTGTTTAAATAAAGTTTATGCTGATACAGGAATTACTTATTCGCCGATAGGAGAAACAACACCAGATGGTACTTCTAAATATGCTGAAATTCCGAATAAATCTCCTGCGAATTCAGGTAACTATGTACTACAAATATGTGAAAATGAACAGTCAGTACCGACTCCCTTTAAACGTGCCTTATTTTGGCCTCAGCCAAAACAGAATTTAAGCAAAAGAAAATAGAAAGAAAAAATACCATCTGTTGTAACCTCCAAAAACTGGCAGCAATATTATGAGAAAAGACCCTTTAAAAAAGGAATCAGAGGAAAATAAGAAAAAAAAAGGCTAGAAGAACGAAAAAAGAAAAAAGAAATACAAGAAAATAATAAAGCTGAAAAGAAAACAAATCCAAGAAAATTGACAAAGAAAAAGAATAAAGAATCATCAGATTCAGAAGCCT